GGGCGATAGCCACTTAAGAAAATTATTTAAAGGTGCTTGAATCTGTTGACTACCTACGTGTTGCGGTTTTTATGGTGCATTTTGCGATTTTTTAATTCCTGGCATAATTCCAGATGAGTGAGTGGCTTTATTTAGCTTTATATCGGTGCTATTCTCTACTGCCTATTCTTCCTCCCGTGTCAAAATTGAAGCTTTGCACTATTAGCGCGTTTTTTTAACTCTAGGAGCGTTTTACCTTTTTTTTCTCGAATGAAAAAACTGGTGCTACTGTAGTTGAGGGGGAATGGCGAGTGATGGAACGGCGAAGTCAGTTGATCTCCTGCCAAGCTAAGGCTTGTGAGAGCGCAGACGAACAGAGGTAGCGCATGACCGCTTCCACGCCTCGCCTCCTTCCACTACAGCACCACGATATTCAGTTTCTCCTTTGGCTTATCGTTGAAGCTTGTTGCCTAAATTGCCAGCAAATCCCTTATTGCGGGTGCGTTACTTATAGTGCAATGTTTTCGAATTCTATGTGAAACACATGCTCGCCTTTGATTTGTAGATTTCCTCATCTACAGAATAGCCGAATTTGTAGATCAAAAGTGTCATTTTGTTCCAGGCCCGATGCATTCCTCCAGCCTTTAGTTTTCCTCATTTTACTTTACTCAGGAATATTAGAAGGATAGGAGGTGTGTCAAAGTCCTAATATGTTCTGTTGGTGCATTGGACGTACTGTAGCCTTCTGAAATTGAAATGTTGGCGAGTTCGTAATTCTAGTGCATCCGATCTGAGTGCTCTTCATTGTTTTCACTTTAAACTTTGATTTTTTTCTTTCCGTTCTATCACCATTTATGCAGCATAACCTTTTTTAAACGTACTACTGGCAATGTCTTTCAATCTCGTGAAGCGTGCTCGAATCTACAAACGCTATATTGCCATCAGTTTTCAATTTCCATTGTTCTACTTATTTCCACATTTCGACTTTGCATTTCGCCAGCCAAAGTTCTTTTGAATTATTGTGCTCATTTTCTAGTCTGCCAAATTGGCTTGGTCAGTGTTCACGGTGCAATAAATATAAGACAAGCAGAATTTGTGACGTTGAAAATTGCGATGAAGAAACGCATTCATGTTTTTCCTTGTATTTCTGCTTGAATTACCACGGATATATCGCTTCCTCCCTTAGATAAGTGGATGCTGCTTCCACCCAGGGTCGGTGTTCGGCATGCATTGAGGTTGTCTCGTAATTTTTGCGCAAGCAGCAGCTCCCTCAAACCTTTAACAGCCGAAGATGTCAAGGTTACAGATCGAGCACAACAGCGACTTAAGGTGAGCTTCGTATAGATTCCCTATTGTTAATGAACTAGTTTATATCATAACGATTAGGAAGTTCTTTCACCCGGCGAACGGTTACGTGTTGAAGTTGACGGAGGAGGCTGTTCTGGATTTGAATACAAAATAAAGTTGGATAATAAGCTTCAAAATGATGATCGACTATGGAAAGGCGATAATGTCGAAGTTGTCATTGACGAGGTATGAAGCGTTTTTTTTATAGTATTCTAGTGTCGTTTAATGTGATGGTAATGTTATCCTTGGTGCCAGAATCGCATAATGTTGTTCATTGGCGAGTTTGCTGGGGGAGGGTAAACAGCTGCACTTGTTGCCTGGGAGTTGGATCGTACTTGGTTGGTAGAAAATCTTCCTGCTTCCAAGTTTGTGACGTCCGAGTAGTTGATAAAAGTTTCCACTCCCTCTCGCTCGACGGTTTTTTAGGTTGGGGTTCATAACGAAGAAGAAGGTAGGGGAAGGGTGGTGTTGAGTGAAAGTTCATCCATGATTCACATCCGCATTCTCATGCGCCGTGTGTCGGATTTAGGCATCGCCACATGTTCCACCAGTCGTTGGTACTCATAGGACCAGAATATATCTTCATTATTACCGCCAGTATTCCGTAACCCGATGCGGCGTCCAATAAACTGAGAGTCTTTCGCGTGCGTAATGTCCTGTTCATACTTTGCGACTCGAGAGACTCTGCGATTCGAGAGATTGCGCGACGAGGAAGGTGTAGGTATCGATTTGCAGACTGCGGAGGTTCAGCGATCCGGCGATTTGGGAAGCTCGGTCTCTTAAATCTCCAGATTCTCAGTCTCACCAATAGCTCAGTCTCCGCAATAGGCACCGATTGATACCGTAATCGCTCGAAACGCCAAGTCCCCCAAATAGCTCAGTCTCCGCAGTCGCCAGGTCGAGGCTTATGCTCTCTTTGTCGCCTAATCTTCCAAATCGCCAAATCTATTGAGTCGCAAGGTGTGAACGTGACCTAACATCGGCACTGACGTTGAGAGCATAGGGAGGTCTTACCGCTCCTACTCGCGATCAGTTGATCTCGACTAGGTTTATTCTGGAGGTTCTCCGAAAACACTGGTGAAGCCCCTTCATTTTTTTTGCTGATTTTCGTTGAGATAGAATCGAACAAAGGGGAATAACGTGGGTCAGCGTGGGTTTCTGATGAAGGCAGATATCTAGGCCTCACTTGATCAGCTTTTTCCTTATAGCCGCCGATTGCGGGTACTGCTTATGTGAAACTGAATCGATTGAATTCTTTTAGCTCCATTTTTCTTTGTCTGTTCTGTTTCTTTTTTTCTGTTCACCTCTAAAGGTTTTAGATGTCGTTGGGATATTTGCGTGGAGCCACAATTGACTACATGGAAGACTTGATGAAGGCCTCATTCCGAGTTGTAAATAACCCAATTGCTGAGAAAGGTTGCTCGTGTGGGTCGAGCTTCGCACCGAAAATGGACTAGGTTTTTCAGACAGTATTCTCCTTACTGCATATAACATACATGTTGAAATATTTCATTTTTGAACATGGTAATGACCGGTTACCGTCGAGAATGTGAAGATTTGAATATCATTATTAGTGTTTTTTCTAGCTCTTATTTACAGTCAGTCACGCGATGCTCAAAAGCTTATTGGTTTCAGAGGTATTATAATTGTAATTATGTGTATAATTGACGTACTTGTGTGATACGGTAGCTTACCTCTTATGCTTCTGGCTACACTAGTTGTAAATGAGGGACTCTGCTGCTTTAAAACAGGATGTTGATAGCGTCTATATTTATTCAGAGAATACTAGAGATTAGGCCTAATACGTATTTGTATTTATTCTCAGGAAAATTATTGAAAATTTGTAATAAACTGGTTACTTGCTCGTCGGCATTTCCTGATTAGTTCTTGTTATTTGCCAAGTAAATTTCTAAATAGCATATTTTTGCAACTGTGAGGTTATTTGTTTATTGACTCCCTTACCATACACCCAAAAGAGTGTAGAAACTTCCCGAATCCTATGGAGAATAGAGAAGAATTGGCAGCACTAAGTGCATGTGGGCATAGGTCTCAAAAAAGGAACAGAGCTTTTACATACTGTACACCTCCTTGAGGTGGTGGTGTGGTGGTGTCACATTCAGCCACCATTTTCCCCCACCCCATCCCCCATCCCCCCTGCGGTAGATATTGTTGCTGGTGAACAACATAGTCCATGAAGAGCAAGCACAGGAACGACCTTAATTGGAAAAGGGAAACATAAAGGTCTTCAGGTATTGGAGGTGTAGTCATCCTTAGCTGAATTAAAATAGATGTAAGTCAAAGTGGTAAAAGTGAGACAAAACCATGGTTCTCATAATTCCGTATGACCGTTTAGGTGTTCGTTTGTACGTAGTAGAATAAGTTTGTCTCAATTCTCGGTAGATGGGGAGATTCCGCACCATTTGTCCAGTGTCATTTTGTCTTATTTAAACGGGAGTTATTGTTTGTCCAGTCTCATTGAAGGAAATAGTTGTAGTGACGAGTTTTATATACACATAAATTTGAGATGTTACCGATGAGAGCGAGATTCTGTGTGAGGCTGACGCGTTCCGTGCACAGATGCATGAACGAGCAGAGTGCTTCTTTCACTTCAGTACAAGGCAGTTTGCGATGGAGACAACAGCGAGACTACAGGAGAGCTAACCACGAAGATTCTGATCATTCACGGTCGAAAGGGTTAGTATGATTTTGATATCTCACATTTACTTCAGTTTAGTGCATTCGTTCTGGGTCGTGGAATTTTCTTCGGCGTATCCCGGCTTGGTGGATACAGCGAATGGTACGCAGCTAAGCTTGTGCAGGCCACCTCATGAAGATCTGTAAAATCCTGGTACCACAATGGTTCAGCTGAACAATTTCGCAGCTTCGCAGGAGTTTACAGACCAAAGTGACAGGCTAGAGAAGGTGCAAAGGGCACCTTTCAAGCTGAACAGACCCTTTTTTGTTGCTAACTTTAGTTGAGCGCGTGGTTCTGTCTTGGTGCAGAAGTGACTCTTCCGAACATTTTCCTGGATTGAGCAATTCTTTTGTTCAGAGAGAGGACTCTATTGTGGGTTCTGCGGGGCATAGGTGACGATGGGGAGAAGCTGTTCACTGCTACTAATCCCCTTAACTCTCATTCAGTCCCATACTTTCCGCCAATCGAACGTGACACGAACGGGACGCCTTTCAACAAACCAAATACAACCCTTTTTCCAGCCGTCAAATGCGGTAATACGAACGGTACTTGCTCTTCCCTTCCCTATCGGTGGCGTCGCTGGACTGCCTTATAGCCAGTGTCTTTAACATGATCATGAGGGGTTGTGTTTGGCCTGAAAAATCCTATTTTGATTTTTGAGCTTCCCCGTTTCTGTGTGCATCGCTGGGGTGGGGGGGGGTCACCGAAGCTGGTACAGGCCGCCCCCTCCCCCTGACTGGCTGCGCTGCAAAATCAGAGTCGATTCATCACGATTCCCTCCGCACCTTTGTTTAAAAACTGGAAAATTTTGGGAAATTGGGAAAGTGGTGGGAGGTTGGAAGGATTTTGTGAGATGGTCGGTGGGATGTAGAAGAATCGTATCAGAGAAAAAAACTCTTGGGGAGCGTATTTTGTAAAAAATTTTTCGACTGCTGTTTTGCTGATGTGATGAGATCGCTTCCCGTTGAAGGGAGAGTCATCCGGATCTTGACTGTTCTCAGTCTTACTTTACAGGAGGCGGTGGTGGTATGCCTCAGGTGCTCCATTACTAGGACTTTCCTGGTTGGTGACGTTGAAGGATATGTTAGGAATTCAACCTGTCAAACTTGATAAGGATCCTTTAAAGGATAAGGTTAAACAGGTACTTGTTGCTTATGACACTTCCTTATCAATGATCTCTTAACAATCGTTTAGTCATGGTTGCATCGAAAGTACGGCCGCTACACAGAAGCTGTCCAGGTTTTAGAAATTGCTCTAGAAGAAGCCGAAGGACGTAAAGAGCCTTTACCTATTACGCGGTCAGTTGCTGGGCTTGTTTGGAAGTTTGAGTCCCTTAAAATTGTGGGCGAGAATGAAATGCGGGTTCTGCACTTTCTTTGGTTGTTACTTTTATAAAATCTAATTTTTCAGGATATATGATGAGTTAGCCAATACATACTACGAGATGGGTAATCATGATGAAGCTATTAAATATTTCCAAATAGTTGTTAATCGGTTAGTTCTTGTTCTTAGCTGTTCTCTATGAACCTTATTTTGTTCCCTTAACACAATGTAATTTGATGTTGTTTGTGGGAATACAGCCTTTGAGCGCAATTCGACCTGGAGGGGGCATTGTGCTAGTTCTCATCGATCTTTGCCGACTCCTCCTGTACAGACTTGTGAATCCTTGTAGAGCTATGAAATAGCGTAAGCTTCCGTCCGCATTTCACAAAATTATTGTTTCGCATATTCGCACAAGAGTTTACAAGCACTTACCAAGGTGTTGAGATGTCATTCGACTGCGAACACTATCGAAATGAAACTAGCAGAAGTGCAACAGCGCCCCTCCCCTAGGACGACATTGCGCCCAGCCTTCCCTCAGTGGTTTTTCGTGAGCTAGCTAGCCGTGGACGCGGAAGCTATGACGCTATTTGTTCTGAAAATAATTAATCGCTCAAAGTTTTTTTACAGCTTAATAACCCTGCATGGAAAACGAGACAGTGATCCAGAATTTATTGGAGTTTCTTTGAAACTGGCGGACATTTTTGCGCAAAAAGGACAGCTCGACGATGCGGAAACAGGATTTTCTCACTGCGTTCGGTAAGCAGATGCAGGTACGGTTCTGTCTCACCCAGCAAACACACTAACTCTGCAGTCTTTTTAGGAACGGGAAGGGGCGTGTCAGTGGGGCTAGGTTTGGCGCGTCGCCAGCCCGTTCTTCACCAGATGTTGGAGCGGTAAGCGACTACTACAGGTGGAAACGACTGATATGAACAATACAGCATTACAAACACTGCCGACATTGACCGAGGAAGGGAAAGATTCGCGCGCTCATTCTCATTCACCCATCCCATCACTGCATGAAGGCATATTTTCGCATTGTATGATAGGTAGACGAATGGGTTCGGCCCGAAAAGAGCACGGCACGCGTTGCAAACCGCTTTTTGCAGCTACACTTATGCCACAAGATGTCAGTCAATTCCACACCAAGGTTTAACGCACTCCCTGCAGGACAATTAGCCTAAGGAAGCACCTGTTTGGGTTTCTCCAGAGGTTAAAATGATTTATCCCAATGCCTTCTAACAAAATGCTCTCTGCTGGTATTTTCCTCATTGATTACAGTTACAATTGCAATTTTAGGCGGTTGATGAGCACATGAAGAGCTATAGCGTAGCGCATGGTGCACTTATAGAAGACAGGCATGTAGTCGATACCCATGGAGGGGTCTATACGGATCCTCTCGCTCTTTTTGGGATGGCTTTAGAAAGATATGCCCACTTTCTGGTAAGCGATTTCACTGAGATATTAACTTCGTTCAGCGCATAAAATTATATTATTAGATCACTTATCGTGATGAGAAACGGTTACGTGAAGCAGAGGAATATATGGATGAAGTGATGAAGGTGATTGTCCTTTTCTTTTAGTATAGGGAAGATTTACGAGCAATTTGACCCATACATTTAGATCTGTTATCAGATTTATGGAGCAAGCTCGTACCATACGATCAATCTGCTCAACAACTTTGGCGCTGCCCTTATTCTCAGAAATAGGTTAGTTTCTAGAAAAGTAATCCAGGGTGCTGATTGGCTTAGAGGGGCATTTTGCTTTCTCGGTAGTTCCTTTTGTTAGTTCTTGTTAAATGATAAGTCTCCTTTTAGTAAGACCTCTAAGTTCCTGAGAAGCTGAAGAATTGTTTAAGTGAGACACTTTGTCAAAGAAATTCACAGGTCTTCCCAATGGAGCCTGTATAACCTGGTCACTAGCTGAGCATTATTTGATGATCCCACCTAGACAAACTGCGCCGGTATACGCATTGGTCTCAAATAACCAGTTTAAGGTTCGAACTGGCTGTGAAGTATCTTGCAATCGGTATCGAGCGGATATTGTTCGTTAATGAGTGTGCCAACTTGATTCCTGGCTACTATTGCAACTACGCTGAGGCGCTTTTCCACGTTGGAAGAAAGGTAAGCTTCTGCTGAAGTGTCAAGTCTTTGAAAACATAGCCTTGAATTTTTGTAGCAAGCACCGCCTGCTTATAGCACGCCCCGCCCAATATGGGTGTGCCTTCCTCATTGCGTCTACCAACTGGTTGTCTATCGCTTCTCAGTTTTTCCGCTCTCGCGCTCTTGAACCGAATTATGAATTTTTAGAATAAAAAAGCTGGCTAAGGTCAACCCATGTCCAAGGGGAGCGCTTAGCTCAATTCATGCGTACTCCGTACATCTTGGTCCATGCCCTACCCAACCCACCCTTGACCCGGCCCCTCAAACTGGCTCTTCAGGTGATTCCGAATTTCCGGACAGACAGACAGACAGAACAGACAGACAGACTTTGCTTTAACAAAGGAAACGAGAGCGAAGAAAGTAGATACTATCAGATCTAGGAAGTCAGGTCGCGGTTCCTTCACTCCCGCACCTATCTAGTCCATCTACTATTACATATATTCAAATTTTCCCTCCCCGAAAATTCGTTATAGCTCATGTAGTTCCGCAGGTCTAGTGGTATATATTTAAAATTTTTGCTCGTTTTTTTCGATTATGGTGGTTAAGAAAAACATGATTATTTCAGGAGGAAGCACTCGAATGGGCAAGGAAAGCAGTTTTAATAAGCAAATCTGAAGAACCTCGTGTACAGCAATATGCTCAAAAATTTCTACGTGATCTTGAGAGGGATGCAAAGGATAAGCGGCCGCGATCGTGGTGGTTATTTTGGTGACCGCATAGAATTGCTTAGGACTAATAAAGATATGTTTTACGATCGGTGTTCGTCCAGAGAGCAGATTCGGACCCTAGGGATAACTCCCATAATTACCAACGATTATGAGTGGTGAAGGTTCGGTTAGCTTGAGTTGGCTCCTGATCTGTGTGGTTCAGTCGAAGCTGTCCAGTGTTCGGCTATGGCGTCGTTTTCTTCATAGACGGTTTAGCCACCAAATAGTTCTGAAGGAATACAACTCTCGGGTATTGACGGTGGTAAGCCCGGCGAACTAAGATAATCGTGACCCACTGGGGACCGTCGTCGTTCGACGTCGGCCCGCAAACTGCCGATTGGTCTCACATACAATCGACAACAGCAATGACAACTCGAAAATAGGCGATGAACTGCAGGCATGTTTGCAGCGTCGTGAGTGCTGTAAGGCCTACGGCATGAAAGCACTATGCCTGAGGGGGTAAGAGCGGACCTGTGGCTAACGGATAGCGCACATTGCCGACGTGAGATGCGGGTCCCGGACTCCGCGCCGGTCGGCTTTTGATCAATAACTCAGCATTCCTTGTGAGACATGAATGGCTACGATGACGGGGTCTACATGAAGTCTCCAATCGCTCTCCATTCGACAGGTTAACACCAGTTGAGAAAACGCCATGCGCGCGGCGGAGCGGCAAATTACGATTCTCTTGCCCGTCTTCCACAATTCTCCGCATAAAATGGGCAGACTACGTCCCCAGTTACACGAGGAGCGCTCCCGGCCACGTAATTGAATACATCTGTAGATAAGAGGATTGAAAGTCCCTCGTCAGATTATTTTCCATCCAGCAGGAGTTTTGGTTCTGCAGACCAATTGTATACGATAAAAACTAGCTCGAATGGTGCTAAACAAAATTGAGGCCACATATAGCTCAACAGGTTTCGGCGATGGCAATGCTCGTAAACAAATTAGGTAAAGCATGCTGCGCAAGTAACCCAGCACAATTGTTTATAAATCATGTGGAGTCCTGTTTGCCTTACGGCGAGCAATATAAAAACTTTATCGGACAGACATCACCCGAGCATCCTGTCACATAGAAAATCTGAAAAATACTACCCCTTTCCTGTCCTCCCTTGATACGATCCTCTTTCTCATCCTAGCTGCCATCTTACTCACTAGCTAACTTTTCCTAGTTTCCCCTACTACCTACATGTTATCCGAAGCAATTGTCCGATTTTTTCCCAAAAAAACTACCGTCGGGTGGGGGAGGAGGGGGTGGCGAGGAGTTGTGACAACATTTGTTGGTAGTGGCTTTGATATGAGCCTTCGTGAGGGCACGGCCAGAGCGTGAAGCGCGGCCAGTGGTGGCGCGGCATACTTTCGTAGAGCAGAATATGTATGTAGAAGTGCTGCACCGTCGCCTTTTTTCAGTATATAGAACAGCGCCTTTTCGAGTCTTAATGACACCTGTGCACAGAGTTAATCCGGTATATTGCGGGAACACGATCGTACAAGTTGCGCTGTGAGTGATTTTGTGAGAAGTGCTACCTATCTCCCAGCTGCCTATCTCTGAACGGATCCAAAAAGCTGCTGGGAGCAAGGCAACCACGCTTGCATGGTGGCTGGCAACAACTTACCGATGAGATGAATACGCACAGTATTGATCAAGATTGCTTCTCACTGAAAAAAAAACTTGAAAAGAAAGTTTGAAATGTCACGAATTTCCAGGGGAACCTAATCTATTGCACACCAGTCAGCGAATGATGAGGGTTCGAGTCCCGCCTCCGGCCTGACTTTTGCCCACAAGGCCATTCTTATGTTACTAATAAGTTTACCTTCCCTGATGGAATGTACCTTTGAATCATGGCCATGGTGGACACGTCATCAACGAAAGTTGCTGAAACCGTGATTACTTTCACACAAGTGGATGTGCGACGTACCACATCTTAGGGTAATATAATCAACTACACTGACAATGAAGTGCTCTTCTGGGGAGGCACAACAAACAAACGTACTTACTGGTTTTTCACTGAAGATGGCGGCCAAGTAAGTAACAGTATAGAGAAATTCGGGTCTTGTATGAATATATGTTAGGTACTGCCATATTTTGCTCGCATTGATTAGCGCGAGTGTCAACGCTGGATGTCAGTAGGACACAAAAGTTCTCACGATTTCCCAGAAGGAGGGCTGCTTGACGATCTTGGCACTGTAAAAAATGCAGTCATTGTAGCAATTTAGCTGGTCAAACTTCTACTCCCCTGCCGAGGTCTCTTCGCAAGTTCTCCCCTGAGAAACACTGAACTGATTCTTATTTAAAGACGAACTGCACACTCTCCTCCGTGGGTCTTGCTGCCTCAGAGCGAAGCTAATTTGGTTGCGCAGACTGCAATTCGCAGCCAACTTTCTCGCTATAAGTGCACGGAGCGGCGTGGAGAGTAACGAAACCCGGGTGCCATCTTTCGACTCTCCCCCTCTTAAGGTGCAGCACTTGCTGATACCAAGGCTACGCAGCGAAATACGTCCTGATTGCTGGAGAACAACCAGAAGCGAGGGTCCGCACACAAGCAGCGAATTCAGCTACGTTGCGGCTTGTGGCTGGCCCTGCGCAGCAGGCGAATATGTTATGCCATGGAGACGCCACCAGTATACAGCCACCCTTGAAACTTCGTTTGCCGTGCACTTTTGAGCGCAGCATATTGCGGCTAAGACCCGTTCATCTCGCACATAGCAGGAGTCAAGGTCCACGGAGGTGAGTGTGCAGTTTATCTCTGACCCAGAATCAGGGGAAAATAAAGGGAATTGGAGCCATCACACTTTCTGCACATGTCTCGACAACATGCAGGAACCCTTTCGATAAATCTTCACACCTTGCTATTCTTTTTCGGTAGCTGAAAGTACAGTAAATGTTACCCCTACAA